TTCTCAAATCAATCTCTCTCATTCTCATCTATTTATCATCTCTCAAAACAAAAACATGTCAAATAAGAGAGGAACCAATTGGAAAGCTCATGAAGATGTAAACTTGTGCAAATCTTGGATATCAATATCTGAAGATGGAGCTGTTGGCATCAATCAAAAGAGCACGAGATTATGGGAAAGGGTGGAGAGGGAATTTCGAAGAAGCGATCCTACAACAATTCGTACTACGGATTCAATGGAATCCCGACTGAGACTTATCAGTAACAAGTGTAAAGTTTGGAAGGGAGCTTTGCAGAGGGCGGAGAGGAGTCAAACGAGCGGTACCAACCAAGTTGATGTGGTATTGTTTTGGAAACTTTAACTTTTGTATTTCTTATTTTTATGTATATTTACTTATCTAACTTGTGTATTAATAATTTTGATAGGAATTTGTAGCAAGACAGATATATAAGGAAGAGAATGGGGACAAAGCCTTTGAACATGAGCATTGTTGGGTCATCCTTCGAAATTGCCCAAAGTGGTATTGTGACCCTCAATTGGTTGTCGGTCCAATTCCACCTATGGGTCAAGGTTCTCAAAGTTCTCCCATAGGTATTGGTTCTCAATCCTCCCCTGTGGAAGGCCTCGACGACATACCAGACGAGGGAGCTACGCCTTTTGTGCTGTCTCGCCCTGAAGGACGCGACAAACAAAAGGCAGCAAAAAAGAAAGGTAAGGTAGTTGCGGAATCGTCAAACATGTACACTACTCAACTGCTAGAGTTTGGTAATGATATGAGAGAGAGGCAAAAGTCGAGTATGGAGTACGAAAATAGAAAAATTAATCTTCAAGAGAGGAGACTAGAGAGGGAAGCCGATGAATGGGCATACAAGAGGCAAGTGAGGGAGCAGGAAGCGGAACAATGGGCTCTTGAGAAGAAAGAGAGGGAGGCCGCAATACTTCAACAAAATATGAATATTATGGAGAAGGATTTGTCAAAGATGACACCAAGAAAGAAGAAATTTTGGAGGAGTAAACAAAATGACATCTATGGGTACGATCAAGATGATCCCAACTCTAATCCAGGAGATGGCGGAGATGGAGATGCAAGTGGTGGAGGAGATGGAGATGAAAGTGGAGGTGATTACTTTCCTGTTATGGATTATGATTAGAAGAAGGTCCTATGTGTACTAATTGAGGCTTTTATTGCTTTATGTGGTGTGTTGTGTGTTGTATTTGAACTTTGAGCATTTTCATGTGTAATAAGAAAACTAGTCGTTATTGAATCTTTTGACTAACTACAAAACACACTTTATTGAAACATGAAATACAATCACACACTGAAACTTGAAATACAAACTACCAAACAAGAAATACAATCCATAATTAAACAATACTAGTTATTGCCCTGCAAATTCCAAAGATGCTCAACCAAGTCATTTCGAAGCGCATGATGTGTTGTTGAGGAGCGAATCCTATTATTTCTAGCCAAATAATCAACAAGAGTTGGAACGTGTCGGTTGATTGGTTGAGGTTGTTCATGGACCTCATAATCAAGGTCATCATCCATCTCATCATCAGAATCAACTTGCTCATCCTCGATTATCATGTTGTGTAATATAATGCACGTCAACATTATATTGCTCAGTGTGACAACATCCCAAGCTCTTGCAGGGCCACGAACAATTGCCCATCTTGATTGGAGGATTCCAAATGCCCGCTCTACGTCTTTGCGGTGTGCTTCTTGGCGTTGAGCAAACAAAGCCTCTTTGTTTGACCTTGGATTGCTGAAGGTCTTCACTAAAGTCGACCATGAGGGATAAATACCGTCGGCCAAATAATAGCATTGATCATAAGCATGGCAATTTACCTCAAATCGTACATGTGGAGCGCTTCCATTGACAATACGATCAAACACTGGAGACATCCCCAGAACATTTATATCGTTGTTCGATCCAGGAGACCCAAAGAAAGCATGCCATATCCATGTGTTGTAGGAGGCCACCGCCTCTAGAATGATTGTTGGCCTATGCATGTGGCCGGTGTATTGTCCTGCCCAGCCACTTGGACAATTCCTCCATTCCCAATGCATACAGTCAATTGATCCAATCATTCCAGGAAAGCCACGTCTTGAGGCTTTACTGAGTAAGATCCTTAAATCGGCAGGAGTAGGTGCGCGAAGATATGTGGCCCCATACATGTTGATAATGTTGTTGCAGAACTTTCTGAAGACCTCCATCAAAGTGCTCTCACCCATACGAACATACTCATCAAGTTGATCAGCTGGAGAACCATATGCTAGCATGCGCATCGCACCAGTAAGCTTCTGCTCTAGAGATAATGATAATTGAAACAAGCTATCACGCCGTAGAGCAAATGAGGGGTCAAACCTCACAATGTCGCTCATAATGTGATGGAATAATCTTGGTTGCATCCGATAGCGCCTTCTAAATATGCGAGCATTGTATACTGGATTTGGATCGAAGTAATCCCTCATAAGACGGCGATTACATTCGACCCTTTCACGATCAATGTGACGTCGACTTGATGAACCTTCAGCCAGCCTCCGGCCGATTAAACTCAACCGTAGGTGGTGAAACCTCTCGTACTCTTCGATTTCTTCTTCTCCTCCCGACGATGAGCTATCTGACATACTCATGATGAATGTGTTTGTTTTAGAAAGGGCTAATACCACTGGGAAACCCGAACTATTAACTTTGTGTCATTTGTGTCCTAAAGTATCCGATATGACAATTGTGTCCTAAACTATTTCTCCATTAGAGTTGACCGGCGTTGACTGTTAGTTTTTAACAGAAAATCCAGTAAGCGCTGATGTGGCATCTGAGGTGGAATTTATAATATTAATTTATAATTATTTTTCATATAGAAAAGAAAATTAAAAAATTAATTAAAAAAAAGCAGATATGATGATTTGTGGATTATTTTTTGGGACACAATTAATCTATCTCTTCCTCGATTAATCGTTCTCTTCTTCAATCCCAAGTTGGATTAACCCACCCCTTCAATCCCAAGCCAAATTCTGCGTTCAGATCCACCGCCGTCGATAGCTCTTCCTCCGGCGACAAGAATCTCGATACTCTAGAGCGCCGACTGGAGGTAACTGGTGGTCAGATCTGCGTCTGGCACAAAGAATGAAGCCTTCCTCTCCGAATCAGACAGATCAAAGGCTTGATTGATCTCTTTCTTGAACGAGATCAGAGAGTTCGACGGAGAAATCATAGACCTATGGGATCAGATCTGTGGATCCCTCGAGCTCGTTCAATCTCCGTCGAGGACGTCTCCAAGAAACGGTCAATCGATCTACCTGCTCATTAGGTCAAGAACCTCCAACCCGGGTCGCAGCCTCCGCCTGTAGAGCTCCGTCAGCACCGAGATAAACCCTCCATCGATGTGGTTGACGAACCTCGGGTAGGCGTAGAAGTTTCGGTCCGATCTCAGGTCGAGCTTCGCCCGGCCCTGCTGGGTTAGAACCTGGTGCCTGATTTCGCCCGAAGGAACTTCACGACGGCGACCCGACAAAGGATGGAGGCCCAACCTTCTTAATTTTCCCCAAACTTAGCCGCCCAACCTTCTTCCCACGCCGGTCAGATTTCTCGATGGTGGATTCTGGGTGGACGGATTCGAAGAAACGGCGAGTAGAGGGCGAGGCTTTTCTTCCTCCTCTGCATTCGGCGGCTTCTTCATAGGGCGTCGCTTTTCTTCCACTGCATCCGACGGCTTCTTCATCAGGAGGTGGCGACGATTCAGTTCAGGAAGTCGGCGATACGATTTGGCTAAATTCGCCGGAGTAGTGGAATCGAAGAGGGGAAAGAGATCCGGAGTGGCGGATTCGGAGAGGGGAAAGCCAAAAGAGGTTGTCGATTTATTTATTAATTATTTTAATTATTTTTTTAAGCAATAAGGAAAAATGTGAGTTTTTAAAATTATTTTTAATGATTTTTTATTTAATTTTGAATTAAAAAATGAGGTGTCAATGACATGGCATCTATTTGGCTGCCACATTTTTTCCATGTCAACAAAAGTCAACATTAAGTTGACCATCGTTTGGTCAACCGTTATCTATAACGGTCAACAAAATTGCCAGGACATAAGTGACACATAACTATTATACATTGGGACACAATTGTCATATCGAATACTTTATGACACAAATGACACAAAGTTAATAGTTCGGGTTTCCCAGTGGTATTAGCCCTTTTAGAAATGGGAAGAAGTTTCAGTGAGTTGATGAAAAATGAAGAATTGTAATTTATAAACACATATGATGCACAAAACGACAAAAAAACGGTCATAAAGTAACGACTACAAAAAATGACTAATTTTGCAAAAAAAAATTATCGGAATTAAAAAAAAATTACATCGAAAATTTTGTTTTCACAAGTAATAACAAACTATAAAAAAATTAAAGTGAATTACAAGAATGATATTGTAAATAAGTATGGATTATGGAAATTAAATCAAAAAAAGATGTGGGAAGCTAAATTTGGAAGCCTATAGGGTTGGAGCAAAAAAGTGTTTTGGGGAGGCAAATATGCACATTTGAGAGTTTGGGAGGCTAAATATAGCTTTTTGGGTTGGAGTTAGTCTTAGAAATTAATTAATTAAAAATTAAATTTTTTTCGGCGATCATCCCCATATTTCCGGCCACGCTATCCCGACGCCGAGCTTCATTATCAAGCGGCCAAATCCCAACAGCGAGCTTTGTTTCCTCCTCTAGCTTCCTCTCACGCTCCCGTCGCCGACATCGATCTTGGTCTTTTGCTTTCTCAATCGACGATCTGGGCTTGCCCACTTGCTCAATCGACTTTCTGTTTCTTTCTCAGAAGGAAACCAATCCCACAGCCGATGTGAAAACCACCAAATAGAAGCAAGCAGAGGATTGGAAAAACCCCAAATCGCATCAAGCAGAGGATGAGAAACCCCCCCACATCGACCACGGATGGAAGAAGACCTGGCGGCGGGGTCACTCAGCCGGCTCGATTCCCAGTGAACTCGCCGAGATGCCCAACCTCGACGCCCTCCCAGAGTCCTTCGCGCGGCTGCTTAAGGGAAGTTCCCGTCCCAATATTTCTCCTAGCGACGTCGAGCTCCTCAACGACCGGTTGACCACAAAAGATGGGGCTAGTAAAGATCGACTGAGGGCAAGGACAACCGTTGCGGCGGATTCAGCTTCACCACAGAAACCCAAATTCGACCTCCAAGCTTTGAACGAATCGATTTGAACGAATCGACATCGAGCTTCAGCTTCCAACTACGATGTAACCTCCGAGCTTCAGTCAAAAACCCAGATTCGAGCTCCGAGTCTCCAAGATTGATTCGAATGGAATCATTTCAAACTTCAATTGACCTCTGAGCTTCAACCCAAAAACCCAGATTCAATAGAGGCATTTGTGTTGGTACTTGGAGGCGATTGCGTACGTGAACGACATGGCGAAAGGGGTGGTATAAATGAGATGCGCTGCCGAAAATCCAACTTCTTCTGCATCATCGGACACAGCGAGGGCAATAGAGAGAGATCGAAGATGGGGCTTTAAAGAAGAAAAGGAGAGAGGTGGGAAGACGATGGGAAGAGGAAAAGAAGGATTTTATCTTTTTATTTTTTTATTTTTTTCATTATCCACATGTAATTGTGGGACCAAATATCGCCTACTCAACCCATTCCGTCAATCCAGTCAGACTGGTACCTTCTGACCGGGACGACGACGTTGAGCCTACATGTCTCGTTCTGCCAGCGAGGAGCGCTGCGCGCTTCCTTGTGAAACTCCGGTCTCCTCTCCTTTGCTTCCGATCTGGAACTGGACTGAACTTTACCTCTGTAGCGCCAACGGCTGCTGCTCCGCAATCGCAGCTTTTCTTCGTCTCCTTCTCAAGTAGCTAACTACTGAACAGCTTTCAACACCAAAACACATACGAAGAAGTGAAGGATCCAGGTTCCGGCGCGGGGAAAGAAAACAACAATGCGACCTTCGAAGTCTATCAGTAGATTGCCGCCGGTGCTTCATCTGGGCTGCATCGCGGCGTTCTTCTTCTTCGTCTTCTTCTTCTTCATTCAATCTTCTTTCTTCTCAGGTTACTCCTCTCCCCCTTTCGTCTTCCGATTCCGCTCTTGTTGTTTGTCTTCTTATAATTCAATCCTAAGTTCCCAGTTCCACTTTCCCTATTCCAAATCCCTAATGAGTCCAATGGTTTTCTCGCTTCAGGTAGTAAGAAATCAGATCCCAACACAGAAGGGGACAAGCGCACACTTTCTCAGTTTCAGTCCGCCGTTCAGCAATGCGTGGTTAGTGAATTTCACTTTTTTCATGTTCTTGAACTGTTTCCATTTGGATGCGAGCTCGTTACGGGATAACCTTGGTGACGTTCTTCATTCATTAGTATTGAAACTCACATAGTTGCAGAGATGGGAAGCATCCCATTTCTTGTTTTTCGATTTGTCTCGGTCACATATCAGTTCTTGGAACTCCTGATGGCATCTGCTTCCATTTCTTGTTGTTCCGCTGGATCACATTTCAGCTCTTAGTACTCTAGATGGCATCTCACTAGCGCATCTGTAACATGTAGGCAAACAGGGGGCTTGGTCTTACTGCATTAATCACCGATCATTGTAAAATGACTCTCAAGTTCCCAGAAGGCACCAACAGCACTTGGGTTTGCTGCTTCTTATCATCTCGTTTGTGTTTACTCAGAGCATCATGATTCATTTAGATGTTTGAAATCCTGATTTTAGTAGTTCTTATTGCAGTACAATGCACAGTTCAAGATTTTTGAACCATTGGAGTACCATTATGATATTTGTGATACACTCATGTTGTGGGAACAGGTTGGTGCATCTTTGTGTCCCTTTCTTGTTCTATTTGGTTATTCAGCTTCATGATGTGTGCTGATGTCTTTAGAGTTGCAGTATCGGAACATGACTACTGTGCTGACACGAGAATATCTTGATACTCGCCCTGATGGGTGGTTTGATTATGCAGCAAAAAGGATATCTCAACTGTAAGATCTTAGTCCTGCCTCGTGGTTTTTCTTTTTTTTTTTCCTCTGAGATTTTGGGTTGCTTGCCTTAGAGCCAATGCGAATTCAGCTTATTTTGCTTGGTTACTCTAATGGCAGGGGAGCTGAGAAATGCTACAACCGTAGTCTGTGTGAGGAAAACCTTAACGTGATATTACCAGCAAGGCCACCTTTCCACCCTAGGCAATTTAAAACCTGTGCTGTTGTTGGTAATTCTGGAGACCTTTTGAAGACAAAGTTTGGTAAAGAGATTGATGGTCATGATGCTGTTATAAGAGATAACGAAGCTCCTGTTACCCAGGTAAACATGAAGCAGATTTCATGTGCACTTTCCATTATAGCTTAAGGTTGGCAGGATAGCAAGTTACAGTTTTTCCCCAAGAAGAAACTACAGCTAATGTGATGAATGAGATATTTATCGGGTTCTCCCTCTACATGTATCACCATGATAGTTACTATATGTTGTGGCCTGTTTCTCCATATTTTTGAAAGTTCAAAACAACCTACATCAAATGCAACTGAGCTTTTCGTGTATCATGTAGAAATATGCACCACATGTTGGACTGAAGAGGGATTTCCGCCTTGTGGTTCGTGGTGCTGCTGCTAATATGGTCAAAATTTTAGAAGGATCTGGTAATTGATTCTGTTATCCCTCAGCTTGTACTTGCTTTTCCCCACCTTCGTTCGGCCTTTTATTTTGCCTAGTTTGATATGTTTAACCTCATGTGTTTTTGTTGCTGTTGTTGTTGCAGATGATGAGGTGCTTATCATTAAAAGCATGGCCCACAGGGACTTCAATGCATTGATAAAGGTTAACATGACAATCCAAATTGTAGTTTTCAGACAGTTAATGAAGCGAGCTCCCTATTTTGAGCTCAGCTACAAACACATCAAGTGTAAACCAGATTTCTCCATTTGCTATTCATTTGGATTCCTTGAAACCTAGAATTGTCTCCCACTCCCATTGTAACCATATCAACATTTTTCTATTCATTTGAAGTAGGCCTCGCCTTAATATTTCATCTCAAGAATCGTTAGAACTTTTAGGCATTGCTTGCCTGCTCTGAACTTCATTGCACACATTCCAACGTGGTTGTATTGATGTTTAATTGTGTGCATTACAGACTATTCCGAACCCTGTTTATCTCTTCCAAGGGATCGTGCTGCGCAGGGGTGCTAAAGGAACTGGGATGAAATCTATTGAACTTGCACTTTCAATGTGTGAAATTGTTGACATATACGGTTTCACGGTTGATCCTGGCTACACTGAATGGTAAGCTGAATAATCATTTACCCAATTACTTATCTGTTTGCCTGAGTATTGGATTCTGCAATTTTCTTTGCAGTCCTCTTGCTGTAAGTGTAGAACTTGAAAATTGGAGTGCATTTACCTCAGCATCAGCATCAGCATATTTCCTTCTTTTACTTTGTTTTCTTTGTTGCTTATGGCAACTGCTAACTTTTGCAGGACAAGATACTTCTCTACTCCACGTAAAGGGCATAATCCACTTCAAGGACGAGCATATTACCAACTCCTAGAATGTCTTGGTGTACGACTAATTAATCCTTCTACACACTTTGTACAATTCATTTCTCCTGGGCGGCATCTTGATAGAGGTTTTGTCTTTGGTTGTGCACAGGTCATTAGAATCCACTCCCCCATGAGAGCTCAGAGGAAGCAAGACTGGTCCAATGTCCCAAGCCGAGAAATGGTATCCAGAGCACATGCAGCAGCCATGCGGTTGAAGCTTGGAGAGGAGATCGCAGGGTTAGGTCAGTTTGGAAAATGCAAGGTGTGGGGTAGTGCAGATGCTGCCAACAACGGGCCTATCTCTGGATCTCCTGACATGAGTGACGTAAGGAAATATTCGAACTACAGTAAGTGGGAGACGATGTCGTTTCAAAGTCTTAGACGAGAGGCACGGGATCATTATGCCCAGATGGAGGATGTATCTTTGTACAAGATGGATGGCAATAAGTTGGACGATCTGGTATGCGTCAGGCACAAGTCAGCATCTTCAGTATGATTTGCAGTCTCGGCTTATCAGTTAAGTGAACTACAAGAGCCTTTTTGGTGCATGTGCGCGGAGATTGAGAAGAGAATACAAAGGATGGTTTCCAGTGTCCAGTTTTGATGTTCAATTAGCTCCAACGATGGTGATCAGCTCAACGGCTTCCATTTTCAATTTAGCTGTGTGCCGGTGTAAGCGGATATTATTTGTATGAACCTTATTGAATGAAAACTTGTGCACCTTAGGATGTTGTATTTAATGTAATCAAAGACAGCAGCAGTTAAAGATAAACAGGACAGCCAGCATGAGCACACGTTCAGAGTAGGCAGCAAAAAAATCTTTCAACTTCACCACTTTCCATTTCTACAATCAGCATTCAGCAATGCATGCAGTAGCAGGAGATCGCAATTTTTCATCAGGGTGGAGGTCAAATGCATATCAAAAGCAATATAACAGTCAGCTAACTTGTCACAAATTAGAACATGTATAGTAGAGGAATTGGATTACTGCAGTTGAAGAATCAGTTATTCATTTATCATCAATCAAGCCGCCTTGACATTCTTCTAAGACTTAACTCATCAGATTGACAGCCAATCTACCACGAACTAGCGATTGACGTTACATTTGGTTAGAGCTATCGAGGGTCTCATGTAAACAAGGGTCAAGACTCTTGATTACTTGAGATGCAACGGCATCTTACCTGATTAACTGGGTAGTAGGACTTAACTAGTACTATACATCCTGCAAATGAGCTGCGTCGAACCGAGCTTTGTCCCAGATTAAGCTTGGCTCGTTAATAATCGAGCTCGAGCTCATTAATTAAAGAGCTGAGTCGAGCTCGAGCTAGGCTTCTTTACAAAAATCTTAATTCATGTTTGATACATTCATTTTGTATGTTATGTATGATACATGTGATAGATGTCATGTTGAAAAAAAAAATATAATCAAACGTTCAACATTAACTAATCTCATGTTCTACTCTATTAGTATCAAGCTATTTAGTTAATAAATATTTAGATTTGTATGATATAGTATTGAATCAATCTATAATAATTTCTTTTCGTAATTAAAAGACACATTTGCTTACATACTTAACATCTTAAACATCATATAGAGTAATTTTAAAAAAAATAATTTTATTAGTTTTAAATTGCCACATCACACATTTAACGGTCAATTTTTAGAGTTGGCTGCCACGTAAGCAAAAGTTAAAGGAGTTGGACGGAGAGTGACCAAACGTAAACGGTTTCAGTAAACTGAAATACCACCAATGGATTTAAATATTTCGAGTGACCAAACTTGAACAATTTTTGTAATCTCAGTGACCAACCATGTAATTAACCCGAGTAAAATATATAGTTTAACAAACCTGTGAATTGTGAATTGTCAAAATTCAAATCATAAGATGGAGACCGATTCTCTGATAAGTTGGTAGACAGATTGAATCTAGCCACAATGTTAAGACATCTTATGAGCTCTAAACGAGCCAGCTCACGAGTTTAGCTCAACAAGCAACCGAATCGAGCTAGCTAGAAGCTTCGCAAGCTGTAGCTCAAACTCGACCCGCTTGTAAACGAGCTAAGCTTCAAACCACTAGCGAGATAGCTCAAACTCGACCCATTTGTAAACGAGCTAAACCTCAAGCCACTCGCGAGAAGCTCGACTCATTTGCAGCCCTACAATCTCATGCTACCTGAACAAGGATTGTGAGCCAAACATCACAAAGCTCTAGGGCCTAAAACCAAGTGAGGCTGAACTAAAGCTGAAGCTGTAATTATATCATACAACAACTCGCAAATCAGCATAATCCTGACGCGCTACATATTATGAATTACCAACTCCATTTTATGAATTACCAATAAAGAAAAGGAAGGCTAGAAGCCCATATCCAAATCTCTTACAAAACTAAGACCCAAAGTGCAACAAATAACACCACCGCACCACCATGAACCCCTTCAAAAACCATACATAAGTAGAAGTGTAGAACATCCATTATAGCTATCGATCAGTCGGCCTACAACGAAGTACAGCAGCAATCCATCACCATCAGTTTACCTTCATTGAGCTTACCTCAGAAACTTACAACGTCCACACAAACTCCGGAGCATCTCTCCTCTGTCCGGCCAAAGTACGGTACAAATACATCTTCTCCACCTTCTGCCTATCATCATCGCACCCACCAACAAACTCCATCTGATCATTCTCATTTATAATCTCTACATTTAACCCGGGCATCCTCTTTGCTAGAGCCTTGCACCCTCCCAGCGTGACCTCACAGGACGACATCCAAAGGGATCGCATTGTCTCGTACTTAGCCACGTCCATCAGAAGTGCCGCATTACCAAAGGGACTGTCCCTTATCTCCAGCTTTCTCAGCTTCTTGCAACCCTTCAGCACGTACTGCATCCCTTTGTCGCTGTCCCCTGCAAAGGCTATCGACAGCATCTCCAGCTGCTCTGCATACATCCCAATGTAGAGAAATACTTGGTCGGTCAGAAGACCAGAAAGGGACAATCTTTTCAGACCCTTGCATGCTTGGACTATTGCACCGAAACCTTCATCGAGCGGCTGCTGGGTCACTGCATCAGGTTTCGTGGGGTCCAGGATGCAGAGCCTGAACCGGACAAAGTTAGGGCAGTTCTTGGCAACTGTTATGAGTGCAGCATTGGTCATCTGTTGGCAGAAGTAAAGTATCGAGTTGAGCTTCTGGCAGCCTCTTGAGATGGCGACCAGGCCTTCCTCTGTGACAGCAGCTTGTCCAACATAGGGATCAGATGGAAAGACACGTAACTCCTCAAGGTCTTTGCAGGTAGAAGCTACGACTTCAAGCCCTTTATCACCAATGCAATCTAGTATCTGCAATAAGAAGGCAGGAAGATAATCATTTAGAAGAGATATACTAAAATGCCAATAACTTTAAGATCATCTGCATCCCCAGACTGCCATGCAAAAAATTCAGCAATTACTTCATTCAACAATTTCAAGCCAGTTACATCCCCGCAAGTGGATTGAAATTCCAATCCATCATCTAGAGAGAAAAAGCAGTACACAAGAAAGTCAAAAACTTTAAAGATATAAAATAAAATAAAAAGCGATACCCATAAGCGCTGGAGCTTGTGGCAGTGACGGATGAGCTTTATGAGCTCGTTGTCATAAATTCCTGGGGCATAGCTCAAGTTCAAGGAGGTCAAGTTAGGGCAGATAATGTGGAAAGCGGACAGGCAATGGGGAGCAACATCCAGAAACCCAGACAGACTCCTAACAGATTTACACTTCTGAATGGCGGTTACAAGTTTATTGTAGTTCTCGGAATCTGGATCATGAAGATAAGAGCCGACTCCCAAATCCAACAATTGGGGCGCTCGAATCAGTATCCTCTGAAGTACATCAAGAGGTACTGCACGGCTCAACCTCAAGCTCTTCAAATTGGGGGATCTAGCTACGAGCCTTTCGAGAGCAGGCAAATTAATATCTCCTTTGAGGCACGCAAAATTGAGTGAGACAAGAGATGTGCTGCTTTCAGGGAAGCAGCTGAGCCAATGCCCTCTGTGATCCTCGACATCATTTTCTTGCAAGTCCAGCTCCTTCAGTTGCCTGGGTTTTGACAACAAAATGAAAAACATAGCAGTCACAATACAGCTTGCAATTTTTAGTTACTAGGCACTCAATCTACAACCAAAGACGCATCAGACAAGTTCTGCTCTTTTTCAATTCCTATCAACTTGAAACCAAATCAGTTCATAAAAAGTAACTCATTTTCGGCACTCCCCACATCAAGTTTGCCAAAACGAATAGCAAACAACATAAGCCAGCAATTAAGGGATTAAAAAAGTGAAAGCTTTCTCAAATGGAGGCCAGTAATCACAATGAGCATCACCAAACTAGATCCATCCATTCATTAGCCATCAACACAACACCAGAAGAAACAAAAAAGTACCCACGCTGAGCTATGTTCCCAGTCAAGCTTACTTTCCAAAAGCAGGCTTCTTTGCTAGATTGGAAGCAAACTGAGAACAGAACTGCCCTGCTTGAACTGACATTCTCACCAATTGCCACAATTTGGAAAAAAAATCTCACCAAAAATAGCAATCCCAGGAGCTCATTCTTAGTTCAGCAAAAATACTGTAGCTAGATTGCATCAAGAATGAATAAGAAGAGACAAAATCAGAGAGAGGAGAGGGAGAGAGAAAAGTTTAAATCTTTCCGTTATCTTACCTACAATAAGCAGCAACAGCTGCTAGCCCATCAGTTGTGAACCCTTCACAGCTCACCAGAACCAAAGACTTGAAATTAGGGAAAGACCTAGACAGTAACTCCAAGCTTTCATCAGAAACAACCATCCTTTTCAGCCGGAGTTCCTCCAGCCCGACCCGGCTCCTAGCGAAAGCCTCGATCCATGGGTAAACGAAGCCTCCCCAGTCCGGAGGGACAAGATTGAAGTCAGCAAAATGAGGCTTCCCCTTGAGGGTAATCGATTTCAGCCCCGAGAATCTCTCCGCGACCCTCTCCGGCCCAATCGCATAACAGTTCCCGACGAACACCGTCTGCCGGCTGTAACTCTCGATCCTATACCACAATTTACAAACCTGGGACACCGAGTTCCTGTCCTTGTGGGAACCCACGAAATCGAAGATGTGCTCCAACACCTCGTCCGGGAAGTAATTCATCCTCTCTCTCGCTCTATCCTCTCCTTCAGACGGGCATCGAATCTGGACTCGACCCAGATCTAGATTTCAGCTCGAAAGAGAAACAGATCTGATAAGAAGGGGTGGGGAAGCTGGAATTAGCGAAGTGGGGGGATGGATGGAGTTGCGAAAGTCGAAAATCTTTAACTCGGGGGAAAGGGGAATCTTTTCTGCGAAATGGATGGATGATAATTGACTGAATCAGAGAGTGATTATTAGTACAACAAAAAAGGGCGGAAAAAGGGAGGAATTTTTTTCTCCTATCTTTTGGTTTTGGTTGGAGGAAGGGTAAGCAGAGAGTCGAATAGAAATGGGATCTGGGAATCAAGGAGACGACGCCATTACAGGTGGTGGGGGGCAAGGGAAATCTAGCGAGCTAGCCATGGATGAACGAATCGGGAGGAAGGAAGAAGGGAAGAGTCCAAAGAGAGACCCTCTCTCAAAGGAGATTAGATTCGCCCCAAGACACTCATATTAATTTTCCTCTTTTTCCCGGTCCTGAATTTCTCTTCTTCTTTTTTTCCCCCTCTCTTCTTCACACAGTGTCCCTTGCTTGGCGGTAATGGTGGTGTCAGGGGGGAAAAAATGACATCCGCTGGCACAAGTATTTACGTGAGGTG